GTTTAACAACAACCAAACTGGCTATATAGACTTTCGTTTAACAACAACCAAACTGGCTATATAGACTTTCGTTTAACAACAACCAAACTTACTATATAACCTTTCGTTTAACAACAACCAAACTGGCTATATAACCTTTCGTTTAACAACAACCAAACTGGCTATATAGACTTTCGTTTAACAACAACCAAACTGGCTATATAGACTTTCGTTTAACAACAACCAAACTGGCTATATAACCTTTCGTTTAACAACAACCAAACTGGCTATATTGCCTTTCGTTTAACAACAACCAAACTGGTTATATAACCTTTCGTTTAACAACAAAAAACTGGAGTTTGGTTGTTGTTAAACGAAAGGTTATATAACCAGTTTGGTTGTTGTTAAACGAAAGATTATATAGTAAGTTTGGTTGTTGTTAAACGAAAGTTATATAGTAAGTTTGGTTGTTGTTAAACGAAAGGTTATATAACCAGTTTGGTTGTTGTTAAACGAAAGGTTATATAAGGCTATCAAAATGAAAGAATAAAGCGAGTTTAGAATTTGTTGATTTCATTTTAAGTGATTCAGTCAAGAGTCTGCTTGAAGTGTTTGCTTCATGTTGCCCATAGTGAGTTATTTTATTCGTTTCTCAGACTATCCTGAACTCGATGCACAAGTACCAGCCGAGGTTTCATCTTGTCCGGGCTAACGACATCCTCAAGCTACCGTACAGTACGTTCCGTACGTACGTCTTCAAGGAGACCGAATTTATCGCAGTCACAGCTTATCAAAACGAAAAGGTCAGTGAATCCGAGTTAGGATTAAGTTATGAGTGTATAAAAACAAATATATATAGCTAGCTAGACAGATAGATAAGCAGTCAGACATATAGATAGATAACATGAATATTTAAGCATAATTAGAGTCTTTACGTGTTTTTGTTTTGGTCATCATGTTTAAAAACTGTACGGTCTCTATTTTTCAAAAGTCATTACATTCTTTAAGCGAGACTTCGACAACCCTTTTTTTTCAAAAGTCACTATACTATTTAATCCCATTGGTAAGCGAGAATTCGATATTCCTGTTTTTCAAAAGTCACTATACTGTTTAATCTCATGGTAAGCGAGAATTCGATATCCCTGTTTTTCAAAAGTCACTATACTGTTTAATCTCATGGTAAGCGAGACTTCGACAACCATGTTTTTCAAAAGTCAATATACTATCTAATCCCATTGGTAAGTGAGAATTCGATATCCCTGTTTTTCAAAAGTCACTATACTGTTTAATCTCATGGTAAGCGAGAATTCGACTAACCCTGTTTTTCAAAAGTCAATATACTATTTAATCCCGTTGGTAAGCGAGAATTCGATATCCCTGTTTTTCAAAAGTCACTATACTGTTTAATCTCATGGTAAGCGAGAATTCGATATCCCTGTTTTTCAAAAGTCACTATACTGTTTAATCTCATGGTAAGCGAGACTTCGACAACCCTGTTTTTCAAAAGTCAATATACTATTTAATCCCATTGGTAAGCGAGAATTCGATATCCCTGTTTTTCAAAAGTCACTATACTGTTTAATCTCATGGTAAGCGAGAATTCGAGTTAGCGGCAAAATAAGAAGTGTACCATTATTGAAGCTTCTGGTTTTGCTTTCGGCCTTGTCGGCACTTAAAGTTCTTTTGATATTCCTCGGTTTAAGTTCTTCGCTTCTTGTCTTCTTTCTGTTCAACAGCACGCTTAAGGGCCCATAAAGACACGTAAATCTCAGATAAGTGGCTGTAGAGATACAGTCTTTTATCTCTCGAGGGCGACCTACGTGTATGGATGGGATACCATTAGTGGACAGTTTCTTCACTTTAAAAGAAATCGACACCAGGCGACGTTTTATGAGTGTCTGTACAGGGGAGGAAGGGAGGGAATTCTGAGGGGATTACTTAAGTAGTTAAGTAGCTTGCTCATTTTAAAATAAAGTCACGCCGTGTTTTGCATTTCTCTTACATTATAAGCCTGCACTGAACTCGCCGAATCTAGAAGTAAGTTTGTTTTCTTTTTTTTCAAGTACTTGAAGAAAACTAAAATTTCAAATAAAATAACCAGATTTAACAGTCGTTATGTTATATGTGGTTCGTTTTTACAGCAAGTACTCGTGGTCTACATTGAAGAAGGGCGTGCATCTTATTTATCTAGTGTTGTTTCCGAAACTAATACAAAATAATTCGCTTAATAACATATTAATTTCTAGACGTACCATTTCATGCATACAGTAGATCACTATTGTTATTCAGCAAAAAAAAAAAAAAAAAATTCATTGTTTATGTCTAGCGTTACCAGATGTCCCAGTAAAAATTGTTTGTTTTTGAATTTTGCGCAAAGCTACACGAGGGCTATCTGCGCTAGCCGTCCCTAATTTAGCAGTGTAAGACTAGAGGGAAGGCAGCTAGTCATCAACACCCACCGCCAACTCTTGGGCTACTCTTCTACCAACGAATAGTGGGATTGACCGTCACATTATAACGCCCCCACGGCTGAAAGGGCGAGCATGTTTGGGGTGCGAGGGATTCCCAGTAAAATTTGGAACGTCCAAGGTTTTATGCACTTTATTTATTTGTTTTTTTTCCTCTCCCGATCAGAAACATGAAAGTATCAAATTGTTCTACTTTCTATGTATCGTCATGTAAGTTGTATATGTACGGTTTTGTCAGTATATATATATATATGTGGTTTCATTAATTTTCACTTACTAAATCACCAAAAACAAATCACTTGGTAAGTTGTTACACTGTTCCCTCTCTGCTACGTTTTCTTAACCTAACCTGTCATTGGGCGGCAGCAGCAGTAGGATTGTTTGTTTGTTTGTTTTTAATTATACACAAAGCTACGCAAGGGCTATCTGTGCTCTGCCCACCACGGGTATCGAAACCCGGTTTTTAGCGTTGTAAGTCCGCAGACATACCGCTGTGCCACTGGAGGGCCAGCAGTAGGATTGTTTGTTTTTAATTACGCACAAAGCTACGCAAGGGCTATCTGTGCTCTGCCCACCACGGGTATCGAAACCCGGTTTTTAGCGTTGTAAGTCCGCAGACATACCGCTGTGCCACTGGGGGGCCAACAGTAGGAATTGAGGTTTCAACACCTGCCCAAACGAAACGCAGAAGCAATATGTCTAAGACTATACTGGCTCGTTTTGTTTTTACATTTTATTTATTATTTTTTAAACATAAAAGCTTTTATCAAATGTTATTTGGGTTTTAAAACGCCATATGATAAATATCAGGTTATTTAGAAAATGGTTTTTAAAAAAAGGTGTTATTGTAATTTAAACTGTTTCGGAACTGTTACAGTGTCACTCCGTTTAAAAAAAAATGTCCTAGATATTCACTTTGTAAATCTGGTAACCCTATTTATTTATGTCTGATCATGTAGCAATTTTGTTTAAAAGAAAGTACTGAAAATTTTATAATTATTTTTTGTCTTTATTAGATAACGCAGCTGAAAATTGATAACAACCCGTTTGCTAAAGGGTTCAGAGATACGGGGGCTGGAAAACGAGAAAAGAGGTGAGGGTGCTGTTAGCATTTTTTGGACTTCTTGTGTTTGGACACACTTTTGCTATTTGTATAACTTAGAGTAAACATTGTAACAGCTCATATAAAAGTATTATTTTTTTCCCCTCAAACTGTTTAAATGATCTTTGCAGACGCCAAGAAATCTCGCTACACGATCAGCGTTCATCACGACAAATAACCGAACCCGATCACTTGTCCTCAGAAGAACAAGATGGCCTTTCTGACGAGGAGGAAAGGATTGACGTAGATGGAATAAACGAACCCAGTCTGTCACAAAATAATCTTGCAAGAGACGAACAGAAAACACACGAGAACAACGGTAAAGTTCACACTCCCACTGTTTGAAGATTTCCGAAAACTATTCAAAAGTAATAATTATAATCAAAAGTGAATATAATAACAAAAATTTGAGTTTCTTTTTATTCATTTAGATTGAACCATCTAAATCTGCAGAGTTACGATGTGAAGAATGAGGTTTAGATATCCGTGGTGAACAGGATACAGATAAATAGCCCATTGTGTAACTTTTGCGCTTAACACCAAACCAAAGATATAACACACCCTCTGGTGATGGAACTTTGGAAGTACTAAACTGAATAAGATTAGTTTGTTTTGAATTTCGCGCAAAGCTACACGAGACCTATATGCGCTAGCCGTCCCTAATATAGCAGCATAAGACTAGAGGGAAGGCAGCTCTTTTACCAACGAACAGTGGGATTGATTGACCGTCACATTATAACGCCCCCACGGCTGAAAGGCGAGTATATTTGACGGGACGGGATTCGAACCCGCGACCCTCAGATTGCGAGTCAAGCACCCTAACCACCTGACCATACTGGACCTACACTGAACAATAATTGAAACTTTACGATGTTGTATAAAAAAAAAAGTTCGATCATTAGAAGAGAGTTCGCAGAATCTTGAAACGTTAAACAATTACAAAATAAAACTCCACGATTTTGAATTCATAGTTTTTTAACATCAGTTTTCGTGTTAACGATTTTAGGATTGAAAAATTCTACTTAGATATTTCAAAATACTTGTAGGTCCTTAAAAGTATGCTATGTAATATAATGAAAAGCTTGGTTTGTTTTGGATATTAGCGCAAATCTGCACGAGGGCTATCTACGCTAGCCGTTCCTAGTTTCAAATTGATAGACCAGAGGGCGGTTGTTAGTGAGCATCATCCACGCCAACTCCAAGGCTACTATAACCGAATAGTTGGATTCGACCGCCACTCCCTTATAACATACCATAGTCGAAAACCTTTGAGAGCGATTTTGCAACAACTGTACGCGAACCACGTATCTTTGATCCAGGGTTTGTCACGCTAACTACTAAACCACGCCCCATAGTGAGAAGACCAACACTCGTAAGAGGTTATTCATAAAATATGAGACAGCTGGCTAATTGAAACCATTTTTCACCTCTTTAGCTTTGAAAGTACAACTACTCACTGCATCACGTTCTTTTGAATGATAAATTACAGAGTAAATTTAATGAAGAGATTGAAGTTTTCACGATTACCACATTTATTCTCTTATTCTATTTTTCAGGTAGTTTCAAGACTGCTAGCAACCAACAGGCAAGGGAGGTTACGGCTACGGATATAGTTTCTTTACATAGTGACCATTATGGTAAGCACTTAGAAGAAAAGGCCAAACCTTCAGCCTCCGAAGTTTCGTCTTCAGGCCACTCACCAAATGGCTTAGATCTCGTCGCTTCTGGACAGTTTTCGACTCCGAGCGTGTCTTTCGGATCAGCAGTGATGCATCCTCCTACAAGCATGATGCCATATTTATATCCCTCGTCCTTCTACAGCCATTTCTTTCTGCCGCCAAGTTTAGCTTCACTGTCTACTTCCACATCAGCCCAGTTTCACCCACTTCTTTCTCACGGTTACACAGGGCTCATGGAGTTAGGACATCGGCTAGGGCAGCAACGTTTTTCTCCATACCCCCTCTACAAATCAACAACGAATCCCGTCACAACATCTACCTCCCCTACCCCTTCCCTATCGGCGTCATCTCACGCCGCTTTCTTAGCCACTTCCCCCCTTCCAACTACACTTCGAGGAGATTTGCTTGAAGGGTACCCACATCAGGCGATGTCTGGGGGAGTTAGTGAACTGAAAAACATGGAAACCCTGGTCAACGGCCTGACCAATGGTCATATTTTGGCGCGTTAACATTCAGCTTGCTTTTTTTTTTAAACCGTATGTTCTCGATTGAAACTATTGTACTCGTTGTTGTTGGCCTACTTTTCCACAGTTTCATGTAAAGTTGAAACTTGTAAATATTTCATTGCGTTCAAAGAAATTCTAAGCAACGAAGTAAAGTTAATATTTGCTGATTAGTCAAGCTCCCGTTATTCAAATATTTTGATCAGGCAAAGAAAGTTATTATTTTGGAGTTTTGTTTATGTGACGAAGCGAGTATCTTCAAATTGTCACGTGATTCGAATGTTGATTGAACCAATCACAACACAGCGTTGCAGATGTATTTGTTTGTGGAAGTACACGTGATATGGATAAGAAGAGTTTACCCATAACATTTTTCATGTTAATATTTTCGGATTGAATTAAGCTACGAATTTATTTATTCTACTCCTCTAAAAAAAAAAACTGTGTTGGTAAAATGTTTGTGTTTTTATTTATTCTTCAGAAACTTAAGTAAAACACTGTCGAGTTTTTTTTTTCGATAATGAGGCAAGTTAGTCTTGCCAAGTTTATTGTTCATTTGAAATTTGACAGTAAAGTCAGATGCTACTACATTAGCGCTTAGATATGTTTTTAACGTGGATAAAACATTAAATACTTTTATTATTACACAAACACACACACACATACACGTATATATATGTATATTTAGAGAGAGAACTCGCGGGATATTTGCAAGATATGGATGGGTCTTCTTCGAAAAGGACCTCATTGTGACCACTTACGCCTTCATCTTAAGGACTGAGAGGCTCTTCAGACGAACTCCAAAAGAACCATCTAGAAGGCAGTTAACAAATTTATTTTGTTTCATCATTATTTAGTAACTTGTATCTCTTCCAAAAAAGCTGTCTTCTATCCTTGTCATTAGCCAAACCTTTTTGATGTCATAAGCTAATCAGACCAATCAAAGCCAAAAAAAGATACTAAAGCAAGTAAGCAAGCCATTGTTAGTTTTTATTTTTTGTCTCTTTTAAAAAAAAAAAGAAACAGACGAGCTGCAACGAAACTGCCTAACATTTCTCAGTGACTCAATCAAGTTTTTACACAGTGCTTTCAGCCCCGAGCGAAGACTTGAATCAATACGCCATCATTATTTCCATACAGTAGTTTACTATGATGAAACCTCAGTGACTCAATCAAGTTTCACACAGTGCTTTCAGCCCCGAGCGAAGACTTGAATCAATACGCCATCATTATTTCCCATACAGTAGTTTACTATGATGAAACCTCAGTGACTCAGCCAAGTTTTCACACAGTGTTTTCAGCCCTTAGCGAAGACTTGAATCAATACGCCATCATTATTTCCCATACAGTAGTTTACTGTGATGAAACCTCAGTGACTCAATCAAGTTTTCGCACAGTGTTTTCAGCCCCGAACGAAGAATTGAATCAATACGCCATCATTATTTCCCATACAGTAGTTTACTATGATGAAACCTCAGTGACTCAATCAAGTTTTCACACAGTGTTTTCAGTCCCCGAACGAAGAATTGAATCAATACGCCATCATTATTTCCCATACAGTAGTTTACTATGATGAAACGAGCCCCAATTATGAAAGTGTTTTGTATATACATAATACTCTTTTATCTTATAGAGTTTTTTTTTTAATAGTTTGACATTAACAGCACCTGTTCATTCGAAGCTATCTGGAAATGTCACGTAATCAAAGGATATTTCGGAAATCAACTTCTACATTGGATTTTAAAATATTGTTCATCAATTCTTACAGTTTCACACTGTTTCTCATCATTATATTGTTTTGTATGATATTGAGTATCATTGAAATTCCGTGTGCAATAATATTTACACACTAAGCTTTAGAAAAATAGATTATTCCATTTTGTTTTGACGTAAATAAGTTTGTGTCTCCAGATCTTTTTTTAAACAATAAACGTGAGGTTATGTTATAAAGGATAGGCGTAATTTATTCGGAGGACAAGGGAGACGTGTCCCTTCACATTTTTAAATGAAGGGGGGAATAGTTCCCCACATAGTTGAACAGCGATAGTGTTAAGTCGTAATATGTTTTATTGCAGTATTTATATATATATCCGCCCGTCCTCCCAAATTTACACCCTGATTTGTATCCAGTGGTACATTAAAGCAGCAACGCTATTTGTATCCAGTGGTACATTAAAGCAGCAACGCTATTTGTATCCAGTGGTACATTAAAGCAGCAACGCTATTT